AAAAAAAAAAAAAAAAAAAAAAAAAAAAAAAAAAAAAAAAAAAAAAAAAAAAAAACTAGGTAATGTAAAGTACTCATTATGGAGGACTTATAATAGTAAGAAAAGCAATAAAATTAAAAAAAATTCTTAAAATCCTAGGAACAAAATAAAGAGTCTGTCTTGCTTGACTACGTTTGCTAAACGAAACAGTACAGTCGTATATTTATTTTACATGCAGTCACAACCGGTATACAGTCTAAATCTGTAAAAATGCTGTTTTGTGCTGTTTGTACTATAGGTAGATTTCAGGGTCCGATTTGAGGGGTAGATTTTAGATGTCAGGGTCAAAGTCGAACAATTGGCTCATCATCTGTGGCGCGGACGTTCACCTAATATTACGTGTTACGACGGGAAGAGAGTTCGCGACTTGTGGATGCAGATAAATGCAACGATATGATAAGCAACCGTCTCCTGTGATAATATCCGTGCGTGCATCGATTTGCAGGGTTCGATTTTGAGTGAGCGGGAAGCAACGCGAAATAATAAGTTTTTCGGATGGGTTTTAAATTCATTTACGGAAATTTCATACCTCGTCCCTTCTATTCATCACCCAAATTATTCACACGAGTTATATGTACTGCCGCGCTAACGCAGAATGCCGTATGAGCCTTTTGACGTTCCCAACTTTCCTCAGATAAAACATGAATTTCAGTGGCGTGGCGTGAACTGCGATGTATCGATTGCTCTGCCATTTAAAACTATGGTAAAAAATCAATTATTAAGGTGTTCGCTGCGAACACCCTGTTTATCGATATTTTTCCATAGGTTTAAATGGCATAACAATCGATGTATAGCGAAGCACGCCACGCCACTAATTAATTTTCAGAGAAATACTTTAATGTCTCTTTTTGAATGTTTCATAGAATTTTATTCGCAACTAGATGTAAATTATCTGAACATTTCAAGAGATAATATTCATGGCTCTTATGGAAAATGAAAATTTCATCGTAGGAGATTTGGTAACTCTTGAATGTGCATTCGATGTTTTTCCTCAGTACGGTAAAGTATCGTCGCTCCACTGATGTAAGAGCAAATCTCAATTTCTACGGAAGAACTGACCTACAATTTGCAATAAAGAGCTTCTATTTTTGACTCGTTTTAGAAACAAGATACGTGCCACAAAAGTTTCTTTGTTCATATAGGTTCTTTTATGAGTGAGTAAAAAATGGACGTATTTCTATCAAACGGACCTAAGCGCCATAGGGTGAGGAAAGTAAAGGGGGGCTTGGATTGGCGGCGGAATCGGGCGTCCGGCGTCCGGCTTATTATTCCGTCCTATACTCGCAATGATTTTCCATGGCGCTTAGATCCGTTTGACAGAACGCGCTATCCGGGATTCTAAATTCCTCAAAAGGAACTCAAATTGGCGCTTAGTTCCGTTTGATAGAAATACGTCCATAATTGTGGTTCCTTTCTGCAAAATGTAGTCCAAGTCAGTCCACAATCAGATTATTGGACGGCAGGCATGCGTCTCATTGTACTGCTGCATGTTGAACACGTTGACACAGTAGCGAAGCGAGAAGGAGAGACGGTAAGAAGTGGTTTTCCGAAGGCAGTAGCACTTGTCTCCACGGCACTGTCCGCCGTGTAGTTTGTTGCCGGCGTCCATAAAGTAGCAGATCTTGGAAGCAGAGTCTTGGTAGAGGTTGGCGACGGCGTGCGAGAAGCGGCAGAAGACGGCGCAGAGCATATCCTCCGGTCGACCGAGAAACTGCTCATCCCTGAACACGACTTTGTTCGGGAAGAAGCTGGCGACGTCCTGCAGGAAACACGGGTCGATCATCTTGCTCATCAGAACGGGGATCATTTTGCGGAGCCGCGACTCGAGCAACGGATCCAACAGCCATAACCCATGCATCTGCAGTGAAAGAGTAAAGCGGTATAGACAGAGGGTCTTGCCAAGGGTGATTTGAACAAAATATGTATGTGCTAGGGGGTGCGCCACCTGGCCGCCACGTGGCTCAATTCTTGGTTGGCGTTTCGCGGGTCACCATGAGTAAATCTAAATAGAACTGGCTCAGGGCTCATCTAAGAACTATCTCCTATCAATAGCTGCAAAATTCATGAAAATTTGCTCGGTATATATTTGGACGCACTTCTGCCAAACGGACCTATAGACGAGTGGGAACAATGGGACGCGTTTGCTACGGCGCCTTGATACAACTATACAACCTCGACGGATGTCCGTATTGCGTTCAAAAAATTGAAGGCGTTTTGACTCCCTGCTCATACTACCTGTAGTTGATTCGATCGACAGACGCGTTGGTCGGCGGTGACGGGGACTTGATGCAACCATTTGAACTTGATGGATGTCCGTATCGCACCGACTGAAGTGCGAAACCACGGATCTCCATCGCGGTGTTTCAAAATTTCCGTTCTTATTTCATGAGAAACAATCCGAATTTACGACTATAGATTTTGAACCAAATCTTCTGCTATCAAATACGAAAAATACTTTGGCGAAAACCAGTCGCCATCTTGCAATCAACACAGAAAAAAATGGATGGTGCTGACGACAGAACCTTTTGTTCATACGGCTCCCACAGTTTCTTTGTTACACTTACAGAACTTTTCTGTTGTGAGAACAGAACTTCTGTCGTGGGAACAGAGTACTCTGTTCCCACGACCAAAAGTTCTGTAATTGTAACAAAGAAACTGTGGGAGCCGTATGAACAAAAGGTTCTGTCGTCAGCACCATCCATTTTTTTCTGTGAATGAGTATTTGATGGGTTCATTTGATCATGGGACAAGGGCTTCAGCGCGTCGTCAAAGAAGACATTCTTTTCAAGCCTTACCTTCCGTTCACATGTCTAGAAAGCAACTTAGCCTGTTTTACCCCCTGAAATGCAATTTATTTTTCATGCAAGTGCGGAGGAAAAAAATTTGCAGGGCACGCACAGTAGATCGAGTCGATTAAGAAGGGTGGACGTGTTGGACGAAGGTTTGGCTGTTCTATGGACTTAAGCAACTGGACTCTGAAACATTCACGAGTTTTAGATTTACCTTATCTGTTTTCTTCCGGTACAAGCTGTACACTTTCTTTGCGGGCTTTAAAAGTTTCCAGTCGAGCCAAGCTGGTCCCCTCCAGTCCAATGAAACATCCTGGTAAATGAAAATATGTACATAGTAATTGATAACTTATTATGAAACTGATCATTAATTTCCTATGAACCATTGACGTCAAAGGTTCCAATGCCGTATGAGGCTGATTCTCGCCTTGTTTACCTAATAATTTGAGCATTTCACTATTTTATAAAATTTGCCAGGCTTCCTGATACGAAGGATGGTAGTAACTATTGATGGCACACGCCCTCAGATGCAAGCCAGTCCAATCCTGATCAAATGATCAAAACAAAATTTAATAAATAAAAGCAATAAAAAGGCTAACGATGAGTTCAAAACTGTCAAAATATACGAGTACACTGCACTTTTAAAACTACTATATCGATATATGTAAATCCAAATATCATCATCGTCGAGATGAGACCATAATATTACCACGATAATCGAGCACTGCTTTACTTTTTGGATACATACTAACCGGCATTTTCATTGGTCGATCTTTAACGAGCATGTAGACATCGTACTCCGTAACAACTACGCCTAGATAAGCTACGTAGGCGCGGATGTAGGCGGCGGTGACGTTCGGCCTTCCGAAAGCCCAACTGAGATCCGGGGTGGCCAGATAGCCGACCAGGTTCTCTTGCACTGCCTTGTCTGAGATGATAGACAACCAATCTTGCGTCTTTTTCCTGTAAAACTCCAGCTTTTCCGGCCTGCAGTCAAGCTGAGGGACTTCGACCACATGTTCAGATCCGACCCACAACTCAGCTGGTAGTTCGTCCCACTTCATGTCCGAAAACTCGAAGTGACCTTTGTCGCTGTCCAGAGCCCGGTGTGTTGCGTAGAAAGTATTTTCCGAGTAAAAATTAAATCGGTCGATGAATTTTGGAAAGCTGAAAGTAAACCGCATGCATTGGACAACCGCCTAAAAAAGATAGAAAAAGAGTCGGACTGTATAAGTGCGCAAAAAAGCTGGGTTCCCTTTGCAGCTAACTAAGAAAAATAGCTCGATCATATAAACCTGGTGGAAGGTACAATGTTCAATATCGGCAGTACTGTTCGGTTCATGTACCCGCACTTTCGGTTCTAAGAAACGTATCCTCGGTTCGTGCAACCGAGCTTATTGTAATGTTTGGTTTTGTTTAAAGCTCAGTTGTAGGATAACCGAATGTACGGTTCTTAAAACCGAGAGAGAGCGATTAGATGAACTGAACAGTGCGGCCGATATTGAGCGCCGTACTTACGGTACATGTGACCAAAATTTTTTGTCTTTATGTAGTGTCTGGGATACCACGATAAAATTAATACTGATTTAGGTATTATTTTCTCATTCAATTTCACGGATGAGAGTCGTGATGCATGCTACAAGCTCCTAGTGCAGGATACTCGAGGTTAAGAAAGATCCAAGCACGTTAAGTTGCATATCTCGACGTTTGAAGGGACTTGGTGACGAGTTGTACATGCACAACGGTACATGTCAGTGATGGGTATAACTCTATCCTAGTTATTCCTATTATTTTTAACTTTGAGTAAAATCAATGGAGGGAATATGCGACTTATGTGCTCCCATAAAAATCAAGAAGTCTTGGCGGAGGAAATTAGCTACGCATGGTCATGAAGTGACTTTTTTAGACATTTTATGAACAACTGTGAAATGAGACTTTCCCCGATTGACATATAGGATGTTAAAGGCGAAATCTGTAATTTCTTTTTCTACTATTTCTGATTGACATTGAAAATTGGACGTATTTCTATCAAACGGACCTAAGCGCCATAGGTTGAGGAAGGTAGAGGGGGGCTTGGATTGGCGGCGGAATCGGGCGTCCGGCTTATTCCGTCCCATGCTCGCAATGCTTTTCCATGGCGCTTAGGTCCGTTTGACAGAACGCGCTATTCGGCATTCTAAATTCCTCAAAAGGAACTCAAATTGGCGCTTAGTTCCGTTTGATAGAAATACGTCCAATTGATCATTGCATGATCAACTCTCTTTTATATATATATATATGTGTGTGTGTGTGTGTTCGCACATAGCTTTTTTAGCATCTTGCTGAGTGAATGGATGGTGAGTGATGTTCTGCAAAGAGCATGCTTCAGTGGCTGCTCTGTCCGCTGTTTCGTTTCCCAGAATTCCTATATGAGCCGGTACCCAGATAAAAGAGGTGGAGTGGCCATTGGCCAATAAGGAATTATATTTATCTAAACAATAGCGGATGTGAAAAATCACCTTTACGAAACGCATTCAAAAAACTATTTTGGCATCGAGAAAATTTTGAGAAAATACTTGAGATGTGATCTTCTAGATCTGTACATTATGCCAAAGCCAAACATATTAAATTTTTGTGTGAACAAAATAGTTTTTTAAGCGTGTTTCGAAAAGGTAATTTTTCATATCCGCTATTGTTACAGATAAGTCCTCATATACTTATGTATATTCGCTTAAATTTTGAAACATTGGATGAACAATGGGCAATGACGGAATTTGCTTGAATGTCTTTATATGCATCCTACAAAAATAAAAACTTGTGGAAAAGATGTGAAAAGTGACTTTTACAAATGCGTTTTGACGATGAGACCTCATTATCTAAAAAATTAACGAGAACACACGTAATTTTTGGAAGAAACTCACTATAGAACGTAACTAAATTTCAACGTTGCCAAATTTTTCCTCCCAAAATGCATTTTTACCAAGAAGAACATAAATATTTTTAACTGCAAATTTCACTGATTTTCCTTCTGATCTCATACAAAAATCAGACAAATTTTGAAGAGAAATCGCTCAAGTTCATTTTCGTAAAAATCTGAATTGTGTGAGTCAATTTGGCAACCTTGGAATAAAGTTACGTTCCTTCGTCTGGGAAACGCCGAGATTGGTTACTCAAAATGAATGATTCTCACAGTACTACTAAGGGATGCTCGGCGCTTGTCTCCACGATCTCTACGATCTTCACCATCTCCACGATCTCCACGATTTCCACGATCCTCGGAATCCCGGCAAGAGTATATTCGCCATTCAGGACGATCGTAGTAATCATTACCCAGGATTTTTCCGACGAGAGACTTATTCTGATCCACCCTGAACTGGATGTAGAACTCGGTGAGAACGTGGACCAGAAAATCAGCCAGGAGGACCCAGATGCAGGCGGCCATCCGCCACCCACGAGGCATCGTGGATGACCCTTGCTCTTCTACGATTCAGAAAAAGTGCCTCGAATTCAGGGTTCCGTGAAAAAGTCCAAACTCGATCGCGCTTCGGAAATTCCACGAGGCTTCGCATGTTGCGCCAACAGAAAAGGTCAAGCCGGCCATTCTCCATCAATTGGTAACACTGTAAAACAAATTTCGGATCAAAATGCGTACATTGCGCCGGTTGCATACTGGCTGAAACGAGCGAATAACCTCTTTGAGTCAAAACTCAAAAGACAACTTCCGCTTTCGAGAATTCAACATTTCCTCATCCATGATGATAGATTAGATAATTAATGATAATAAGGCAGTATAACAGTCATCGCCCACTTATTCTCAAAAACTGCACTTATGCGCTGTGTCCTTTAAGCCCCTCAAAAGTCTATTCGCGCGGCTGTATATCTTGCGTGCAACAGAATCATTGACTGGTTAATTTTCTTTCAATTTTAATTTTTCGGACTGAGAAATTGACTATTTGACTAGGTACCCTACATCATGAAGAATATACTCGCAAAATTTAGAGTTGCAGTGTTGCTTTGTATGTTTAAAAAAATTGAACACGAGAAGAAACTAGGCATAGTTCGTGTAGTTCGGTTGAATCTACTTAAATCCACTTGCGTTTTACATGATTTGAACTTTCATTTGATTTTATACTTTCGTGGAATGAAGGTCGTGCGCGATTCTGTTTTCGAGTAATACTTTTTGACAGACCAGATAAACAAGGACCGACGCGCACACAACTGACAGTTACTGCAGTCTGAAAGTCCAATACGTCATGTTCATTACATACAAAGCTCTTAGGCCTTGAGGCAAATTCAAAATTATGAATAAAAAAGAACATAAAAAAAAATTGGAAAAAAGGGGGAAAGTCCTCATACAAGTTGCTGCTGTCAGTTCGGTTTTTTTTTCTTCCTCTTTTTTTTGCATATTTTCATGAGGACTAATGTTCAGTGCTCTCGCAACTAGAGGCAATCTGATGGTGAAAAAGAGTCTATCGTCGTTGCAATCCGAAATGATGCAAAATCCCAAAATTCTTAAAAAATCCATGAAAAGGCCTTTCATGGATTTTTTCAGAATTCAACCAGTAGCACGTATCTGACGACAAGATTTTCTTGGAATGTAAAGTATTTTTTTGTTCGTTTTTATTATTCAGCACCCTTCTATTCAAGTACAATGCTCATTGCACATTGTTAGGCATGTGATGCAAGCTTGTTAGGCGTTAGTGCTTATGATCGTAGAAATTTAACGGAATTCTTACGCAAATATTGGTTTGATCAAATAAAACCTGACTTTTGGAGCATTCTTAAAAAATTTATCACACGTCACATTAGGTTGCCAACTTGCGCGCCTTAAGTGCCGTGTCTTAGCATTTAAGAAGCACATTCAAAGGATCCAGAGATTATTCCTCCCTGATTAGTCGGGTGAGCATAGAGAGAGGGCCAGAGAGGGTTGAAAATTAGAGAAAACTTGTTTTTTTTCTAGGTCAAATAAAGTAGCTCGCCCTACCCGTGCGAACGGCTAGATCCGACTCTGTTACTAATAAAACTTAATTATTATATATTGATAAATGTATACAAATATGAACCTTACTTTTCATCACAGCAATCTGAGCTCCACAAGAAGACATTTTTCTTTGTTTTTAAGTTTTACTGCATGAATATAGATACAGTCTAAATATGACCCTTCAAAAAGTTCAACTACCGCCTATCGATGTGTCGTCTTGGTTTTTGATTATTAGTTGATAATTTGAAATGATAACACCCAAAAGTCAGTTTACTCGCCTTGTTTTAGAGGTTAACTACACGCGTTATTTTGTGTCTCTTTTTTCAAATAAAACCAAATCATTAATCGTGTTATTTAGCTAAAGATTCTAGTTTTTGTAGATTTATGACTAAACTCATCATTGTCAAGATTCAAAAGCGATCGATAAAGTAAACTATTATTATTTTAAACTCAAAGTGGTGAGTGTTCAAAAAAAGTGGGCTTTTTTGCGTTTGAGCCACCCTTGTAGTCACGTGCAACCTCAAGGCGTTTCTAATATGACTTAAAAAGATCCATTGTTTCTTAAAAAGACTAACACTTCCCGAGAAGGACTTACATACTTACAATACGTCAAGAAATCCATGATAAAATTTCTGAAAAATTGTTCGGGCCTCAAGGATATAATATAATATGTGATTTATTGCTCTTTTGGCGGTCTTCTGACCTACAATATTATACAGCACCAGTAACTTTCTTAAAGAATCGGGCTAGGTGACAGGTTAATTCTCAACAAATTTTGCGTTTATAATACCTATTGATCTTTCTCTTGCATGCATGACTTGAGTGATCTGTTTGATTTTATTGGATGGATCAGAAAAAAATTGGGTTTCATTTAACCAAAACATGCAGGCGCAGCCTCGCTACAACAAATCTTGGCGCATGGCAACAATACAATTGTTCATAATAACAACTTATGTCGTTACCGGAATCTCACCCAGAGAGGCCGGCAAAAAATTCTACATACAATTCAAAATTGATCGGCGGAAGACCCTAATCGGTGGGATGCTCAGAGGCAACTACGCAAAGCCCGAATGGCGCCTATATTCTTGCTGTCAAGACGACGTAAGAGATGAGGACTCTACCAATGTTTCTGTAAGTAAGTAATACATCGCCTAATGACACAGGCTTCTTACGATAAAAATAATGTCATGATAGTTTTATGCTCTAAATGTTGTGCATGTCCTTTATCGAGCTGCTTATATGAAATAATGAAAACTCATATTGGATAGGGAAAATATCGCCCTTGACAGCGTTTTAGTGTGCGTATATTTATTCATACGAGCTCGTTGTATGAATATCTATCTCAGATACCTTACAGAATACGTTTTACGACATCTTAACTGGTGAACAAATTCGAACAAAAACTGAATGGAAGTGAAACGCACTCAATAGCATGCAGCACGCTAGGCATCAGTGTTGTTCTATTTTTTAATTTTTTTTTTTTTTTGTTTTGAAAAATTGCTGGAATTACAAATATATACACTGCTTTAAATTGCAGTACAATTTTAAAACTATTTATGTTAAAAATTAGTGCATTGTACAGTTCGCGAGCTCCTCGTCAAAAACATGCACAACTTCGCGAACAATCAGCACTTGAACCTAAATAATTCAACAAATATTAATTATAGAACTATAATCTACTATTTGTTGAATAACACAATTATTTAATCCTATCAAACCCCCAAATCATCAGACTAGGGAATTCGCTAAAATGTCTAGTTTGACTACTTGCCTGCAAAATATTGATACTTCTCAAGAAGGCAGTGGCGTAGCTAGGAATTATTAAAGGGAGGGGGAGAGGGGTGAGGGTCCATCCAATAACGTAACGGTACATTTTCATTATTTTGTGTACGCCCCTGATAATATTTTATGTCTGTCCTTCAAAGTAAAAAGAAGGAAAAATTGACGAGGCAACGGGGGGGGGGGGGAGGAGGTCTAGACCCTCCCTTGTCTACGCCACTGATATAGACCCCCCCCCCTGTCTACGCCGCTGAAGATGAGTGAACTTCTGTTTCTAGGTTAGTGGCATCCACTGCGAGCGATTACGTATACGGTTTCCTCAAACTCTGAGCAAAAGTTGGAAGTTCCACAAAAACAACGTGAGCTTTTTCCAAACACATCGGAGCAGCTTCGGCGAGAATCTGACGTTCCCAGACACGGCCCCGGAGCGTGTACCCCCGGAGCTGTGGCTAGGCATCGTCCACGCCGACGACTGCCCACGAACCCCATTGAAGCCCAGCGCCGAAATGGAGAAACTCGTCAAGAACCAGAGCGACGCCTGGATCACCGCCGTGACGACACAAGCCACTCAGCAGAATCTTCGCGCCTACTTGGCCGCCCCTGGCCTGGCCTGGCGCACTCATGACGACCTGAAAACCGCCTATCTAAAGGCTTACGTCGCCTACCTCACCAGGGTCATCAAAGACTATGATAAATACATGTCCCACAGAACTCAGTTCAAAGTGGCGCAAACTAATAGATCGGTGAGTTTTCAAGCATGAGCACAAACCCAAGTAGCATTAGGTTG